AGCTCATGCCCGGCCGCAGGCGGGTGCGCGGCGGCCGGGCCGCTTCCTGGCGGCAGCGCTGCCCGGCGCTGGGCGGCGGGAGCCGACGTCCGTGGCAGCAGCCCGGGAGGCCCCGCCGCGGCGCTCCGAGTCCGGCCGGCGAGGGGGCGGGGGCGAGGGCGGTGCCTGCCGGGCGGGCGGGCCGGGCACATGTGCGCTCGCCGCACCCCCACACGGCCGGATCTGGTGCTCCGGTGCGTCTCGTGGTGTGTTCTGCGGGGCTCCGCCGTGCTGGGACTGGAGGCGGCCCCACGCACAGCCCAGGAAACGGGAACGGTCGGACGAACCTAGGAGCGTGAGAGCCTTCCCGCCGGGACCCCCGCCGGCTGCGGTGTGGAGCTGGGCCCCACGGAATGCTGCCGGGCGCCTCTCCGCCACGGGGGCTGCGGCACACAGGGGGCGGGTCGGCCCAGAGGGGCCTGAGTGATCAGGTCGCAGCACCGAGGCCTGGCCAGAGCTCATGACAGAGCCGTGACCTGGGACGCCGCTGAGGTCCAGACCCTCTCCTGAGTGAGCGCAGTTCGCACCGCTCTGCCTGCACTGCTCTCATCAGCCAAAGGAGACCATATATAACGGGATTTCAGAAATGAAAAACTGATAGAACAGCGATCAAAATGGTACAACAGTGATTCTGCAGAACCCAGCCCCACTACTCCAACGGAAGCCTGTCACCACGCTCTTTCCGCTGGTCTGATGTTTTACAGGTGCTTGTGGCAGATTCTGAGAACAAATTCCAGGAACAGCATAAGCCTTGCTGTATTTCAGCTGTGCTCAGGACACGCGTACACCTTGCCAAAGGCAAGGCACAGTTACAGCTCCTTTGAATTCACAGGATCGTAGCAGCTACCAACCACAGCCCAGGTGGGAGGCCTTGATCTCTTCAGAGGAGGAGTAAAGGGCAATGCTTTCCTTACGGAAGCTAGACTGTGCAAAGGAGGATTTACAAGCATTTACTCATGGGCTTTATTTTAAGAGCAAGTACCTGTAAACTCTGTAAAAGTGTTTACAGTTAAAAATGTTCTGGTAAGCAGTTTTCAGATTGCCACTGCTCTGTCACTTGTGAAGTGCAAAATAGTCCTGAATCTTACCTTTTAAACACAGCTATTGTTGCAGAGGTTGGAGTAGATTTATTTACGCTCTATAAAAAAGTTGCTTCTGTCAAATGAACAATGCTAGCCTGATGAAGAAAAGAAACCAATATCAAGGCTCTGATCTTGGGAATGGTTACATTTCTGTATAACTTCGAGAGAGCAACTAGCACTTCATAACACCAGACTCCAAACTTCCCTGTGCTTCTACAATGCTCAGCAAGCCAAAGGCGCTGAGCATGAATAGTGCAGGTGTCCAAAAGGCTCAGTTACAGCCCAAGCATGGCACTTGTAACAGGGCAGTTGGGTATCAGCTCATGGTGCAGAACTGTAATGGAAATGGGCACAGAAGAGGCATGCAGCTAGTCAGAATTCTGAGTTACAACTAATGTTTTACACCATCACAATATTTTCTAAGCTAGTTCTAACCTAACTCACCTAACTAACCAATGTGTGATGGTCTGGTCTGGCTCAAAGCAAAATTGTCTCCATATATACCTGCTTGTGTGTAACAGAGGTTTGTACAGCAATGTATTTCCTCTCAAAATCCCAAAGTAGTTATGAAGGGATTTTAGCTCCCCTCTTGGTCGCTGATCAAAAGATACACTTCTCCTTACTTTGACCCAAAGTCCTTAGAGTAACTTAAATAGAATTTTATTACAGTTTGTTCTATTTAGTGGATATTAAATTGCACAAAATCCTTTTAAATACTAGCTCAGACCATTCACAGTGTCCAAAATTGATTATTTAAGTAATACCTCTAATGTGGTTGAAGGTGAAAATCATCATAGCCTAAAAGTGAAAGTACTACTGCAATGGCAGTCCCTTCCCAGGCAAATTACCTTGTAGCAAAACATCCTGATGCTTCACTGAAGAGCTTTGGGATCAAGGTTCTTGCGATACATCTGATCATTAAGACCGACAGAGAGATTCTTGCAGAGTCTGAAAGCTTTTGGATAAGGTCCAACATGCCAGAAGGTTTCCTATAACATTATTTTATTCTCATCAGGTAGACAACAGAAAGCAAAGATACATCTCCCAGCACACACTTTATCCATCAAAGATTTCAGAATTTACAGGGCTTTGGACTGAGTTCAAGGTCTATTCTGGGATCTTAATAAAGATCCACACAAGGAACCAGACAGAGACCTTCTACTGCAAATGCATTCAGGAAACTGCCAGGGCCTCTGTCAAAGCTACTTAAAGGAATTGAATTTTAAAATTAACCTGAAGCAGAGCATGTAATGTTGTTAGTCCTGTGTAAACAGAGATTATTTTCTTATTACAGTATTAATTCTCAGAAGTGGAGAGGAAAATAACAAAAAAAAAAAAAAAAACTACCTGCAATTACGGTTTAGCCCTGCAGTGCTTATGCACAAAAACAGTTCTTGTCTGAGTGAGTAATCCCACCAATTTTAGCTAGGATTTACACATCATACCCTGAATTAGATATGTCTAAATCAATTCAAGTGTGTATCCATAGAGCTGGAAGAAGATTTGGTTCTTTTTCTTTTAGTTTTTAATAAGATTCTATGACTTTTCAACCTGAGCTACAATTCCTAATATTTTAGATGACATCCTAGCTCCTCTGAAGTTAATGGCAATTTTCAAGTTTACCTCTGTGTTATTTGAACTTCCCCTTTGTACTTTAAAGATTAGTTTTCTATGCAAGACAGAAGGACTTCAGAGGTCAATTTTCTGAACTGGGGGTTCTTATATTGTCTTTCTGTAACTATTTAACCAGTCATGGAAACAGTTTATGAGAAAAGAGATTCAAACTCTACCTTATTTAAGCATTAGAGCAAACATCTTTCCTACAAAGATAAGACAATTATAATCTTGTTTTAAAATGGAAATTATGTCTGGTTTGGGGGAAAAGTCAGCATCTTCACCTTTTTCCTCTGAACCAGGAGTATAATTTCTCTTTATAACATAACCTAGACAAAGCCCCACTAATTCGAAGCCAATTTTACAGCTGTCTTTAGTGACAATTTTTCAACTTGCACCTTCACAATACTGCAAACTTTACACTTCGATAAATTTGCACCTTTAAAATGTTTGGGCAAACTTAAAATGACTACTTTCTTATAGACTTTTTCACATTTACTTTCTGTTTTGTGAGCCTTTCTGGGTCAGATCCCATTGCTATAAACATTAGCAAGTTACCACTTCTCAATTTAAATGGAAATTTACATTATAGGCAAAAAAGGTACATAAAGTGCATACTTGGTTTACATTTTTAGCATACTTACAACTTTGAATGAATTACATGCTTTTTTAATAACTGCTGTGGTGCTGCATTGCAGTTACAGTCATATTAATAGTTTATAGAAATTTCTAAGATTCTGGGTACAAAACCTACAAGGGCTCATGAACTTTTAAACCTGGTGGTAAAGCAGGTAAACCTGGATAACTAACACTGTTAGAAGCAATCATAGGAATCCTAGCTAAGAGAGAAAGAGAAATGGAGATGGTATGTTATACTTCTCAGTATCTTAAATGTACAAAATATGTGAGTTACATTAATATTAACTGATTTTATTTTTTGCTACACCTTTTCAAGACAGTGGTATTGTATTTTGAATATTTGCAGGCAGGAACTTGACACACAGGAAAATAGGACAAAGGCACCCATTTAGTGTCCTATGTGAGGTAACGCAAGACCTCACATGGTAAGATCAGGAAAGGCTCAGCATTTTGTAGCACAGTGTTTTCCAAATACAGCTTCCATTGATTTTAGATGCAGTGTCATTATTGAACATTTCAACAGTAAACTGAGTCAGGTGCCAGAAAAATAAGAATGAAACACACGACCGAGTATAAAAATTTAGTCTACATAATTTGCAGAACCTTCATTAAACACCATGTAGCACAGGTAGAACTTGACTCTGGTTAACATAGGCAAGATTAGTTTCCCCTCTCCATTTCCTCAGGATACATAGCCCAGTGCTGCAGCCCTGGCACTATAATGTAGGGCCCCATTACCTCAACCTGTGGTCCTGTTGTCTTAACATGGGGCACCATCACCTTAGGGTGGCTCACCTTAACCTGGAGAACCACCCCTTCAGCCTGGGTCACCATCCCCTCCATACAGGCTGCCAGCACATAAAACAGGAGTACCATCATCCCAACCTGGGGCACCATCATCCAATCTGGAGCAGCATCACTTCAATATGGGGCACTGTCACCTCAATACAGAAAACTGTCCTCTCAGCATGGGG